CATGAATCTAAACAGAGTTAAAGTAAATATCCAGGCCCAAAAAAAAAGAAGAGAAATCATTCAGTACATCTCTGCCAAACATTAACATTTCCCATGGTTTGTCTTTTTAAAAACACAAAAAAATACCTGTATATACACCATGATAATCAGGGCTTGAAAAATTTTAGGGTGTCTCACGAGTCCGTCAAAAATGTCACCAGTCAGCATGACCGGACTATAGCCTTGCAATTTATGTTAACATTTTTTAGGGACAGATAGAGCTTTCTTTTGGTGGTATTTAATCACTAGAGGAGGGGGGTGTTTATTTTTTACTAATAATATTTATCATTAAAAAAGTATTGTAAATTGTGGAAAAAAATTATTCTCCCTACGTTATGTTAGAAAACATTTATTCTTACCCATATTTTTGGTAAAATATAAAAGACGGGGTCACGTCGGGTAAGTAGACACCAAACATGTCAAGCCTTAAAATTGCACGCGTCATCAAAATCGCAAAAAAATGATCACACAGAAAATTGGCCATAGGCGATGCTTTAACCTCTTGCCGTCCGCCCGTAGTAAAAAAACGGACGGACGGCACTGCTGCATTTGCGGGTTGCCGTCTCCAGACGGCAATTTTTTTCTGCTCGCGCGCGCCCCCTAAGCGGGCACGCACGGGCAGAAAAGACCCGACCGTTGACTTTAAGCTCTCACCAGTTTAGTGTGATCAGTGATTGATGGGCTTAAATGTATTGCTCTCACTCCGACGTTCGCGGTGATATGTAACATGTGTGTCACAATAGGCGCAATAGTCGTTTTCGCACGTAGGCGCACCCGACGCATGTTTGCGTGTGTATGTGGGGCAGACGACTTTAAAAAGTCGGATCTCGGGACCGGCAGTGACTGCTGCTAATTCAAGCGATCGGGCGTCTCTTGAGACAACCGATTGATTGAATGTACAGCTCCCAGCCGGCAGTTTAATTACAAAGGCCGGCCAGGAAGCTACTCATCGTGCTCCGGTGTCCTCTCGTCACAGACGAGAGGATTTTTCAAGCCCTGATGATAATCCAGTTATCTCTTTACTTCCTGAATGAGCTGACAGCTGAAATCCCAAGCAGTGTTAGGGCTCAGTCACACTAGATGCAGTACGTTACGGCCCGATTTTGGCCAGAACGCCGCGCCTCGCATTGCGGCCGGCTCACTTATTAAATTGCAGCAGTTTGATCGCACAGGACTGGAACGCAGGCACAATCCCGTGCGGCGGAACGCATTGCAGCCGGAGGGCGTGGCTACGGCACCATTCACTTGAATGGCCCGCCATGCCCCCTCCTGCCCCACTAAAAAGTGAGCGGGCCGCAATGCGAGGCAGTACGTTCTGGCCAAAATCGGACCGGGACGCACTGCATCTAGTGCGACTGAGCCCTTATAAGCCCTGCACGAGTTTTTACTGCTGGTCCCCCTATGTTATGGCGATTAGAAGGGGTTCTGTAGACCAGGATGGGAGAACTCAGGTAGTGCTGATAATATTGCTTGGCTTTGTAGTACAGAAGGGGCACTGCGTTATCATCTTAAACAGAAGTTAGAAGTTTGCTAAGCAGGTAGACAGTTATATAGGGAATTGCTCTGACATACAGATTTTCAAATTGATGAAAAGGTTAATGCCGATTCCGATAGAAAGGTGTCTGAACACAGTGCAAAACACAAAAAAGTCCCCAGCACACCTGTCAGCTAGCCTGCGACAAAACAAATTAACCTGTCAACAGTATGCGTTAAAAGCAGAGGTTTTAGTTACACAAGCCTTTGGCCAAAAATACTGTATGTAGAAGCCGCACTGCCACCGTCAAGGCACCTGTGCAAAGTGTGGTCCTAACTCTATTTATATGAGTCTCCATGTTGGAGCATATTAATGAAGTCGATAAATTAAATGCAGGTGTACCAGGAGGTAGCCTACTCCTCCTCAAAAGGTGCAGGGACGCACTGGAGGCCCAGCAATCAAAAATGGACGCTGGGGCCCCCAGTGCGTCCCCACATCCAAAATAGTCAAACTAGAAAGAAATGGTAACGGCATAAATGTATAACCAGCCTTTGTAGCAGGGTGCACATGGGAAGGCTTACACCAATACAAAACAGGTGTAACTAAAACTTCTGCTTTTAACGCATACTGTCGCCAGGGTAATTTGTTTTGTTGCAGGCTAGCTGGCAAGTGTGCTGGGGACTTTTTTGTGTTTTGTATTGTTGTAAGCCTTCCCATGTGCACCCTGCTACAAAGGCTGGTTATAAATGTATGCGGTTATCCTTTCTTTCTAGTTTGAACACACAGTACATCGCAGTTTGTTGCGTATGACCAGACTAGTCAGGGAGCCTATGCTGACCCGTGTCCATCACACAAAATCAACAGCAAAAAGTTTCCCAGCATACTCACCAGCCAGCATGCAAAAAAAGAAAAACGCTCTACGTCCAAAGAAGTACAGAAGCTTCTTTGGGGCGTATTTGCAGCGCGTATCCATTAGGATACAGCTGGATAGCCCTCGGAAACGCGCGTTTGCCACGCGTTTCTTTTACCGCAAATCGCAGTAAAAACGCAATGCACGAAATGCGCATATTCCGTACGCCCAGGTGTGAACCCAGCCTAAAGGCACAGGGACACACAGGGGACCCCGCACATCACAACGGCAGCTGAGACCCCCAGTGTGTCACTGCACCAAATCAGACAAGCAAAACAAATGGCAAACGCACTCATCAACTCATAACCAGCTTTACAGCAAGGTGCACATGGAAGGGCTTTATACAATACAACAGCAAAAAGTTTCCCAGCACAATCACCAGCCAGCATGCAAAGAAAACCTGTCTAACCGCTAAGGTTAAAAACAAAGGTTTTAGATAGACGTCTTCTGCAGAAAATGTGAAAGTCACACAGCCATGTCAAGGCCCCTCTGTGTAGGCCCATCACCAAAAGCACCTACAATGGGCACGTAAGCATCAGAACTGGACCACAGAGCAATAAGAGAAGGTGGCCTGATCTGATGAATCACGTTTTCTTCTACATCATGTGGATGGCTGGGTGTATGTGTGTCACTTATCTGGGGAAGAGATGGCACCAGGATGCACTATGGGAAGAAGGTCAGCCAGCAGAAGCAGTGTGATACTTTGGGCAATGTTCTGCTGGGAAACCTTGGGTCCTGCTATTCATGTGGATCTTACTTTTACACGTACCACCGACCTAAGCATTGTTGCTGACCAAGTACACCCCTTCTTGGAAACCTAATTCCCTGATGGCAGTGGCCTCTTTCAGCAGGATAATGCGCCCTGTCACACTGCAAAAATGGTTCAGGAATAGTTTTAATTTATAAGACTTCACCGCCCCCTCCCCGCCGTGGTTTTCAGGCTCCCCGCTCTTCTGGGATACCTGGGACCACGGCAAAACAGTTCAGGATGGAAAGCTGGGAGCAAAGCGGAGAACAAAAAAAATACAAAATAAAAGAACAATTAATAAAAACAACAATTGAAAAAAAGGTTAAAAAAATACAAAATAATAAAATAAAAATTGAAAAATAAAAAAGGGCTAAAGAAGGTAAAAAAATATATAAATTAAAATAAAAACCAACCCCGCCCCACCGCCATCTGTATGTGAATAAACGCATGTGTAGGGCATTGTGTGCGCTCATTTAATTGTGTGCCATATTGTGGTAGTGGGGCAGCAGCGCTCTCTAACATGCACAATGCACATACAGTAAGTTCACTTTCCCAAGTAATTTGTGAAAATGCAATTACCCATCTAAATCTGGCCAATTTCTCCCCCGCTACACTTACCTTACCGGATTTGCAACAAGGCCCGGCATCGGGGCAGCAGAGAGCAGAGGGGCAGCAGGGGTATGGAATCCCCCAACGCCTGGGACATGCAGTTCCAGGCGCTGGGCGGGTAGTTGTTTTCTGCTTTACATTAGTTTCTGAATGGGTAGTAGCACTCTGTACAGAGGCTCCTCCCCATTCAGAAACTGGCGATAGTAAATATTTTCTGAATGAATGGGAAGCCTCTGTACTTTCCACTCATTTAGAACAGAGGCTGCAGAAAAAAAGAGATTGAGGAATCTGTGTCCTCAGTCTCTTTTTTTATTTTAAAAGGTAAATATCACGGGGCTGTTTAGACTCCTAATATTTCCCAAAGTCCCCCAACAGTAAAAAAAATATATTAACCAGTTGACATCCGCGGTGTTAAACCCCCTTCCCATCCAGGCCAGAGGTGCCGCGCGTGTCGGGATCCTCTGGCAGTCACCGGACACCTAAATTAGGACCCCACCTGGAGCTCCTCCCACCAGACCAGCGCTGACTCACCGCTGCTCTCCCGCACCGAAGGTAAGTAAAGAAAAAAAAAAAACACAGCGCAAGCATTGGGGCATTTTGACAAATACTTGTCAAAATGCCCTGTTTTTTGGGCCCTCACCCTTCAGCGCCCTCAGGCGGCCGCTTGCCTTGCGGTAGCGCTGGGCATGCACACACCTGTTGGGGAAGTGGCGCACTTTTTTTTGTTCTTGCTTCGGGCGCAAAAGGAGCTAGCTACGGCTCTGGGGTCCCAGTACGGTAACAGTTTTCCTATCTGGCTCCTCGGAATGAAATGTTGTATACGGCTTGGGATCTTCAGGCTCATGCTGTGAGGAAATACCACATAGGGCCTGACAACAAATGTAAACAAACCATCCTAACTATAATGTGTTGTCACCCTCTGTGATGTCTTCTATATCCTCAGCTGACATTAGACTCTAATGAATAACAGTATTAAAACCATTAAACCATAGTCCTGGAGAAGACATGCCCGCCATGTACTTTGACCAGTCCGCCTGCACTGATTCTTGACAGGGCACCTGACACCCTCCTCGGTGCTGCAGCCTCATCATCTCAGAGAGCCCCGCCCATTACCACACACACACCGTCCAGAATATTCCAGAACGGCTCCATCCCCCTTCTCAGCCATTGCACTATTCACCCTGTCCATCAGCATGACGTACATAGGACAGACCCCGCCCCCATGTCATAGCGGCGCCTCCTAACCACGCCTTGTTCTCCGTTCCTTGGGAGAGCATTGGCGGAACTGGCGAGTGACGTCACGTTGTAGCTGGCCGTAGTCGCCGCCGGAAGAGGTGCCAGTCCGGTGCGGGGAGCAGGGTGAGGTGAGGCCGGTTCGGTGGTGGGGGCAGTTTAGTGGTGTGCTATGTGAAAGGAGCATGAGGGGGGATGACACCTGTAGTACCCGGTAACCAAGGCTGCGTTGCTACGGACGTCTGGCAGGCCTCATCCAGAATGAATGGATGGGGGTCCATACTGCTAGGGACCCTGACACCATTACAGCACTATAAAGAAGCTGCTGAGATTTGATCTAAGGCTGACTACACATTGTGCAATCTGATTGTGTAATCTGCTCTTTAGATATACCATCCAAGGGTCTTCCTGGTTGCATGTGCATTGTTTAGGTTTGCCCTGATAGTACATAGTTTTTGGTGAATCTAAAGCAGATTGTACAATTGGATAGTATAGTTTATGGCAATGTATCTCCAATGATCATTTATAAGCAATAAATAGGCCGATTTCACTGAGCTATGACACGTGTGTTATTTTCAGGTTTGATTACGCTTGTACCGTGGAGAATTAAACCTTAGTGCGTGATTCTAATGTTCCTCTTAAAGGAGAACTATGAATTCACGGTATACTGAGCTTAGGGTGACGGGAGGACGCTAGTTTCTGTCCTCCCGTTACCGTAAGGAGAACTATGGGGAAAAACCGTAACCCCATAGTTCTCCTTTTATAATCCTATAAAGAATCCGTCCACTTAAAGTGACTGCCGTGAGAGAAGTCTGGGGGCTGCCATTGTGGGCTCATTGTGAGCATGCCGCATACCTGGCTGTGTCTGACCCGGGTATCTCAGAATCACAGACCCAGAATGCTGAAGCATCAGGATGACAGGCAGGGAACCAGCATTCTCAGAAGGAGCGGTCAGCATTGGCAGCCTACATTAAAGTGCGACTGAATACAAAATCCTTTTTTTTTCTGTAGAGGGGGATTAGAACACCTGTCAGGTCTTTATTGCTGTCTTTGTCCCCGTTAGGTACAATCCACCGCCTCTATTTGTCCCGGTGACCGCTACAAGTAAAAGTGAAAGAAAATCTCACAATTTGGTGCCATCGGAACAGGAATACTGTATTTTTCCGTGTATAAGACTATACTTTTTCATAAAAATATTTACCTAAAAATGGAGGGGCGTCTTATACACGGGGGGCCGAGAGGAGAACCGCGGTTGTGAAACTGCCGATACCTCTGCAAACTAGCCTCACAAGTGAACTTCCGATTGCAGAGACAAGCTAACAGGTTTCCTCCAATCATGAGCCTTATGTACCCGACCTCAGATGATGCTGCGGAGAGCCTGTAGCCAGTGCCCAGATGTAACAGGGAGCGGTAACGTCTGAGCATTCTGAGCCCATAAAATGTCAGAAAACAAACAAAATCCCGGTAAATACCAATACCAGGAAGCGGCTGTCTTACGCTGCAAAATTTAAACTGGATGTAATCGGTTATGCAAAAGAGCATTCAAAATATTGATTTGTGAATTTTGGGTAAGAAAAGTGGGGGGCGTCCTATACATGGGGGCATCTTATAGACGGAAAAATACGGTAGATGGGAAATCTTCCGATGGGGACCCTCGTTCTGGTGATCCTGCTGACCACCAGGGATTTCTCTCATTTCCTGTTGCCGTTATCAGACAGGAAGTGAAGGGAAATGTCCGCTATGTGTCAAAAAAACTAAGCTGACAGTGGTTATAACTAGGAATGCACCGATACCAGTTTTTCGGTATCTAGTACGAGTACCAATATTTATCTTTCAGTACTCACTGATACCAAGTAACAATACCGGTACTTCCGCTAGCATGGAGCCAGCTTACCGGGCAATCAGGCTGTTTGGCTGGCTCAATGTTGATTGGCTGGGAAGCCGGCTTCATGCTGTTTGGCCAGCTCGATGCTGATTGGCTGGGAATCCGGCTTCCTGGTCATTCAGCATTGAGCTGGCCAAACTACATGGAGCCGGCTTCCCGGCCAATCAAGAAGCCGGACGGCGGGTAATGACCCACCTCCCGGCTTCCTGATTTCCTGGGAAGCCGGCTTCCTGGCCAACCAACATCAAGTTCGGCCAAACAGCCTGATTTACCTGCCGTCCGGCTGGTCATTACCCGCCAGCCGGCTCCATGTTCCCTCATGGCACTGCCGGTTAGAGGAAATCTCCCTCGGATTGGAATTGCCTGTATTGGGGAAGGTATCGGAGCATTTGTGCGAGTCTGAGTACTTGCCCAATTACTCAGTATCGGCTCCGATCAGGGCATCCCTAGTTATAACCATCCCTTACTCTATCTAAAACGGAAAAAAAAACTTTGACTTTAATTCTACTTGAAGGAGAACTCTGGGAATTGAATTTTTTTTTAATATAAAAAATTAGCTGGATAACAAATAGTTAGTTACCTGTCAAGGGACTTGTGCTGATCAGCCCCCCTGCCCGTTCTTTAGGCTCATTCAAACCTAAAATGAATAGGAATTCCTGCGTCAGGAACTTGCCTTTTTCCTGCAGCTGGAATCCCTAATTTGCCATTTATAAAGGTGCCCATACACCTTACGATTATTGGACGAAACGTTTCGTCCGATCGAATAGTCGTACGACTGGCCCATCCTGCCCCGATGATCGCAAGATTAATTTAGCCGTCATTAACGAAAAGCACCTGGACGAAATGCGGTAATTGATTTGCCGTATTTTCGTTAGCGCAAGCGCAGTGTAGATCGTACGACTTTTGACGGGACAGAAACGCCAGCAACCTTACGACAATCGTACGATCGAGCAAAATTTTGAAACATGCTTGACCGTCAAAAGTCGTACGATTGTACAGTAATGTCGATCGGACACTGCAATGCACACATACGATTATCGGACGAAAAGTCGATCGCATACGAAAATCGTACGATAATCGTAAGGTGTATGGGCACCTTAAGTGGCAGTTGTCACCCATTCAAGTTAATGATTGGGTGGCAGCGGCTGCATTTGAATGGGGGTACACCACATGTAATCATATGCGATACAATTACATGCAGTTTGGAATCAATCATATCGATTGTGCGTCCAGGGATAGTGATTGGTTCCTAACCACATATAATCCAATCACATACGGTTAGATGTGGTTTGCAGGCGTTCAAATGCAGCCGCTGTCACCTGATCATTAACGTGAATGGGTGACAGTCGTAAAACCTGCTGCTGCAGGAAATTGCAAGTTCCTGACACAGGAATCCCTAATCGGACCTCAAGTGTAGATGTGAACGGGGCAATACCATATCGGCTTTTAATCACGCAGGAAAGTAGAGCGATCACTACACTTCCGGCGCTATGACATGATAGCTGCAGATCTCCTCCACGCAAGCCATCCACCCCTCTTCTCTTCTGTCCATTCACAGTATGCTTTGTATTTTGTGAAAAGGTTAGCAGACTAACCTATCGTGTCGTGGAGTCGTAGCTGTCCTGTTGCAGTACCGGAAGTCTAGTGATCGCTCTACTTCTCGGCATGAATAGAAGTTAGAATGGTAAAGAATGGGCAGAGATGGTGGAGGTGGCACACACCTCATGACGGTTAGCTATTTGTTTTCCAGCACATTATCCTTCCTGGATTTCTTTCATCACGTGACAGATTCTCTTTAAAAATATTTCATCTGTGTTTGAAGTTCTACATGAACTCACCTCTCCATGCGTCGTTTACGTTTGTGTTCTGCACAGTATTAAATAAAAGATTAACCCTTTCATGACTTGGCTATAACTAAATTTGTCAGTTTAGCAGCAGGGCTAAGGTCCGTTGTATCAATGTGGCCCTGTTCACACTGTGGCACTATATTATTGCACGCATCATATGCTGCACTTTAACGTGCGTTGAGTTAAGGGGGTTTATTCATTTGAATGAGCTGCCTAACGCACAAAAAAAGGTGCATGCAACATATACATCAGAGCGCTGCAACAAACCTTAGTCCTTTGCCGTGCATTGTACTGCAATGCAAGCACTCTGCATCTCACCAGTGTGCATTACTGCAGCACTATGGTGTAAATGGGTCCCAAGGCCCTGCTCACACTTGGCCCACATGTGAATGCACAATGTGCTTTGTGGTGCATTTAGCCGTGCGTCAGCATAGAGCAGTCTATTCATTTCAGTACCCGTGTGAAAAGGGCCAATTATCTCCTGTGCACATGGACACTGAAGACTGAACCCAGAAGAAGATGGCAGCGGTAGAGACAAGAGCGTTGATGGGGAGTGCGGATGTTGCATCGCTGGAGGAGGGCGCTTTCAGAGCTAAGTCTTCCATAGTGTGCAAATATTCTTTTTAGTCTGCATTAGCCACAGATGTAAAATAGGGTAACATGGTCCCCCAGGAGAATCCTAATCACACCAATAACTGCTGCTGTGTTTGAAATAATCCCTGCATGTCAGTGATCATGAGAGCAGTCATGTTATATTAAACCTCCGAGCTGTATGTCTTTTCTTTAACCTATGCCTCTTATTTATACGTAATGATGGCTGCCTGCATGTAACATCTGCCTGTCCCTCAAATGATTTGGATGGAGCCCCAGATCTGCCGTGATACTCTCCAATGACAGCAGCTCATATGCAGTACTTTAAACTTTCACTCTTATGTATACGAGAGGGAAGGATCAAAACGGGCAGCTATAGTGAGCACCTGTAGGTCAAAGGCTACGCTTACAGGGGGTATTTTAATCTAACATTATTGAGTCATTTGATTAACATCACAAAATCATTTTGGGACTATTGCAGCTATTTCTAGTGTGTGATTAAACCGCATAGTTGTATAAATGAAAATCACCCATGTAGTTGAGACCCTAAGCTAAGGAGTTGAACCTTGAAAGTACATTCAAGTTCCTGAATTATTAACAAAAATGTATCTTATTTGTGTATCACTCGGCTGTAGATCCTCAAATCCTCTCTGAATTGGTGCTGACACTGTCCTTCCTTCTGGAGGGTGCCTACTTTTGTTCCCCATGGTGTCTGTGTGTGTTGTAAAGTAGCCACCACTCCAAGATCACTCCCGTGATGGACTACTATCTCAGGTTTAGTTTACTAATTTTTTATACTGAGATTGTA